CCCAGCATTTCACTCTGGTACTGGAAACTGCACATACGAAACTGCTAGTACTTACTAAAGAGTTCAGTGGAAAAGTAAAGACCAAGTCAGAAAATTATCTCTAGGAAGCAATTAAAAGTAAATGAAATGTAAGCGGCATGAACCAAACGCTCAGAAGGCAATCTTGGGCTGCAAGGCTGCTGACATATAGGTGGCTGTCAGGTAGCACTGTCAGAAATACCAGATCAAGGTAGGGATGTAAGACCAATGAAGAAAGTCATCTGGGATGGGTTGGTTGTTTGGGAGGAGTGTGGGCAAAGACAAGAAGGCAGAGAAACAGCAAAAAGTTATGTTCATGGAAAAAAAAAAAAAAAAAAAAGCCCCACCAAGGTTATGACACCTTGTTCAAGCACCATTCCCACTGCAGAAGTGTGTTTGTCTGTGGTGAAGCTCACCCCCAGACTTTGGTCTGCAGCTCACAAAGCATACCCAAGCATAAGTATACAGCCCTCTGCAGATGCTAAGGGTAAGTTACACAGACAATTCTGCAGCTCACGTTTGCTTTTATGGAATAAATGATCGTTTGTTAGTTTCCAGGAGCTCTTCTTCACGGTCTATATACATACTTATTAGTCTATCTTTTTTATTGTAAACTTAAAATTTTTTCACACACTATGTTGGCACTGAGACCTAAACTTCTGACCAAAAGGCAAAACTTCTGTGCTTTCTGGACCATACAAACATTCAGTAACTGCTCAACCATTTCAAAACTCCTGAACCTCCCATCTCATACTCCCACATGAACAGGCCCACTATTTCTGTCTGTCGGTGTCTGAACACATTTCCTTCTGGAGATACTGCAGGGTTACTCCTAAATCTGCAGGTATGGATCAGCAAAGTCAGCAAGTGGTACTCTTCCCCTAGGAAGAAACACTTCATGGTAACTAACTAATGCTCAGGCTTCTTACTGCACAGTTACATCTTAAAGCTCCTTGGAAAAACAAAATAGAAAAAAAAATCCATCACACGTTCTCACACACACACACCCAACATCAGGTAAACTTTATGGAACATTATTAAATGCCAAAACATCAGCAAAAACTTCTAGAGTAATCTTTTTAATACAGTTTAAATATTCAGTAGTGCACACCTTGCAAAGAAAATAATGGAAAATGTTTCTCAAAGTAACTGCATACAAATGTTAAAACAGTTTCGTTCCTGGTATTACAGGAGTGCTTACCTGGCACCTAAGAGCTGGCTGCCCCTGCAGAGCGTGCCAGCAGAGCACCTCTGGCCAGCAGAAGGCAGGCGAGGGCTGAGTGTGGCACACACCTCCTCCAGAGAAGGCACGTGGGCACCAGCACCATTCCTCCAGCACTGGGCAGCAAACCTGGACCCCTGCAGGACAGCTGCAGCCCACCCCACCGCTGCTGGCTGAGGGCAAGGCTTGTTCCCCGACACCCTGCCACGAAGAACGCACCAGGACAGTTTCAGATTTTTTCCAATGCATTTACCAATCACAAAGGCCTCAGAAAGCTTCAAAATATTCAAATTACTTTGGCAAGGCAAGTAATTTAAAGAGGATAAGCTTTTTATCGTTCACGACAAAAAAAAAAAAAATAAATACCAAAAAAATAAGCATACGTTGGAAAAAAAATTTAATTCTGAACAAACGCAGAGTGTATCACTTTCGTGGATAAAAAATAATCCAAGTAATCAAGGGCACAGTATAAATAAATTCAGGAAATACAACCAAATGACAGTAGTTTCCCATTAAACTTTACCAAAATAAAGTAGTTGTTTTGGTCAGAATTATGCTTACCCAAAAACAAGTAAGAAAACACACCTAAATATTTGAATCCTAAACATATTGTAATTTCTTCCAACCGCATTTCAAACATAGCCTCTCCTACTTACAAGAAAAGTGCTCCTACCCCAGCTGAGGCTGGAGATGGGAGGTACACACCAAAGAAAGAAGACTGGGAATAAAAACCACAGCCAGACATCCCAGAAACTTAAATTTAACAATCAGAACATAGCCTTGTAACGCACTCCTGAAACTCTGTATCAACAGTGGCAACAAAAATCATTCTTTGTATGTATGGACACAGCATAATCCTCAAAACACTTCCAGTTATCTAGTTTTTTACCTTAAGCATTCTGGGTATCAGACCTTTGGAAAAGGAATTAATATTACAAGCTAGATTCATTATGAGTTTAAAATAAAACACTTTATTGTAAATAAATCGAATATTTGCAATTTGCAGAAAATAAAAATAGTATACAAAGCTGTTTATTTTTTCTTGATCATCCCTCATTTTTAGGCTCCATTTTATAACATTAGGAAAAAGAAAAATCTAAATTAAAAAATGCAAGCTGTGTATAAATACTACACCAACAGGATTGGCATTTAGAGTATCCAAGTGATCTTTTTAAGACAAGACAGCCAAGCAGCTGCTGTTCCAGCTGAACAATAGCCACAAGTTAGAATCAGAGTTAATCATGAAGTGTAAGTCTCTCTACATGAAAATTAAGTATTTCTTGGCACTACAATGGACTTAACCCAGTTACCACTCAACACATAAGCATAATACAAGCATTTGTTTTGTCATTAAGAGCAAGCAGTGTGCCAAACTACTGGAAAATAACATGCCAGGTAAGCTTATAATTTTAACTAGGAAAACCTTTAAATTCTGCAATAATACAATAAAATGGTGCACTACAAAGAAAACAGTTAACTATCACAAATGGTTAAAAAAAAAAACCAAACTGTATTGAATCAATATATTAAGATAACACATCTAATACTTCAAGTATCTACTTAAGAAATTTTATCTCATATATTCTGATTTGCTACTAAGGGGCATTTCTCCCTTGTGTACTGAAAACAGTTGCATGCTTTCACCAGAAGCATTAACTTCATAGCAATTAGCTGTCTTCTCTCTTACATATATATATGAGTTTCCTGGGCATGTCTCTCTCCTTCAAAAATAAATTACAATTCTGGTTTCCACATCAAGTTTTCAGATTTTCAAAGGAAATTAATACAACATAATATCCAGGGTGGGGGTGTTCTTCAATCTTATTTGTATACAGAGATGTAGTAGATGCATTGTCTGTCATTAGGGTTGTATTCATATTTTTTTTTTGTTTAAATTCAAACAATCACAGGGCACACAAAGAAAACCCCTTACACTTCATGCCTCTTCATGCTTTATGTTTGCCCAAACAACTGAAAAACAAGGTGGGGGAAATTTTTTTAAAAATAAAATAAATCAGAGAAACAACTGACAAATTCTTATACTTCAGAATGGTTATTGGGAAAAACAAAAGCTAAGACATATACAGCATACCATCACTTCTCAGGTCTGAAATGGCCTCTTCCTACAAAGAAGAAAAACCAAAAGTCTCTGAATGCTTCCCTTCAAGACATAAACAGACTAAGTGCATACAAAAAAAACTTCTTCTCTTCGTTTTGACAGACGGGTGAGGAGTATGGAGAGAGACCAGTGGAACACGCCCTCTGCAGAGGGAACGGCCCCAACCGCGATGCAGCTCGGACACCCAAAGAACTTTGAGACAGGTCAATAGCCCAAAGCTAACTGAACACAACTCAAGGGATGTATCTCCCCTAAACTGGAATGTAAATTTTTGGTTTATTGTTAGTAAACTTTCTCCTAACAAGAGAAAAGATATTCACATGGGAACTTCAGAATTAGAAACAAAGAAAAGAAAATGCCTGGCATCTCTGTCTTCTGAGCACCCAAAACAAGAAGGAAAGACTACTGTAAATCAGATACTATTACAAATCAAGCTTTAGAGAGAGAGAGAAAGAGAGACATAAATTGTGCAAGTATTCCGGCAGCAAGGTTTGTCAAAACATGATTATCTGAATAAATATAACACGAGATCCTGGAGGGAAAAATATACACCAAAAGTAGTATCTGTGTACATATATATAATGCATGTCATAGGTAGCATTTTCTCTTTAAGACAGTATCACCACAAGGTTGAAAGAAAACTCACAACTTCCTCACAGCATTGTCCATCTTTTGCAGTTTTTCTTTCAGCTTTATGAATTCAGATCCTTTGTTGACAAGATTCCTGCACCCACTTTACCAGACTTCCTTACTTAAAACTTTATCACAGATAATCCTATGCTTTAGCTGCTTCTTTTGTTTCACTTTCTTTCTGTCAGCAAAACATGAGTTTTCATTATCAGACTCTGGTTCACAAAGGTAAGCACAGTAACTAGAATTTGGACACTTAAGCTGTAAATTTGGGGTTTTATACCTTAATTTGGTCAACTGGAATAAGGCAGCACCTAGCTTTAGAGTAGACTGCATGGCCAGCAGAAATTAAGGTATGAGCCAGATTGGACTTCTTGTGCAGAACATCCACCTCCAATTTCATTTCAGAGCCATAGTGCTTAAAATGGAACACCAGGTCTGGTTTATTAAGAAGCTCGTGAAACAGCAGTTTAGCTTCATCACTCCAGCACTCCCCCCTGGAAGGAACTACTTCATGTAAAGAGCAAGAGTATGCCAAGCGTGGTAAGTAAGACAGACTTTCTGGAACAACTTTAAGCTTATGGATATCGGAATAAGGGATGCTCTTCAGAAAGCCATAATCAATAATCGTAAGAACAACAGACTGACTTGTCACTTCACTAATTTCTGCCCTGTTCCACTGTGCTTCACATTCAAACTTGACCAAGCAGTTAGTACCAGGAGCCACAAGTTCTTCTGGCAAAGCTGGCAAGTTGTCAGGGAGGCCAGAGAGCAGCAAAGCCAACTTCTCCATGCAATTAAAGAAGACTTCAAACTGGACGCAGAAGTTTGAAGGATCAGTAACTGCAGTGGCAAATCCAGGATAGCTTCTACCACTGTGCAGCAATGTCCATGTCATTGAATTTATCCTGAAAGATGTATCAAGCTCCTTACAGTCTGTATTACTGGCTTTTTCTCGTCCAACAGCAGTCTGATAATGACTTAAGATCTTGTTCAAATGCTCCAGGAGCAGGACTTCCCCTATTAAAATATCCACTTCCCACATACGAGAGCATTCCAAGTATCTCAAAAACACGATCCTTATTTCATAAACCAGGAGTGCATTTATTACATGGACAAATTCTAATTTGTTCAGCTTTTTAAGCCAAACCCATTTACAAAGCACAGCTTGTTTAGGAATACTTTTCATCTCATCACTGAGCATCTTCACATTACTTACGGACACCATCTCACAGTTGCCATAGTCCATGAAAAAAACTAGCACTAACTTCTCCTTGACAAATTTCTTTATCACTTCTGATCGATACCACCTCAAGTTATTTTCAGATTTTGTCATGCATACCAATCCTGCTTCAATGTCATCCACTGTAAGCAAATCACTTCTTTGTGCTTCTTTGACAAGCACTGCATCTAACTCATGTAAGAATTCCAAATTTCTAAATAACTGCACATGAAGTTCTCCAGACTCTGAAATACTAGTTACTTTTGCTCCTTCCACCTGTCCAGAAATTAGATCTTGAGGAAAGACTTTTAAGGGTGTTTTGGGAATATTTTTCATCCTAACAGCCTTAGTTTTCCTCCAACCTCCTAAACAATTGCTAGACTTTCTGTCCTGAAGACTACCAGTTGTAACCAGAACCTGTTTGGACCTACGTGCCCGATGATGCGCCGGTGCATTTTGCCACTTAGTCCTGCCTTTTTTCTGCAGCAGGTCGCGAGACATAGACTTCCCATCACAAATGACATCTATTTCCCATTGCTCTCCACGTTGCTTTAAGAACTTGCAAGTGACTGGCTTGTTATTTATTTTGCTTAAGAAATAGGAAGTAATTTCACTAGTCCAGCTTCCATCAGGAACAGGTTTTACTCTAAGGGAACAGTGAACACTGAGCCTTGGCAAAGTTAAGAACTTCTTCTCAATTCTGCAGACTTTTGAAGGACTTACAACTGCTGTATTACCATAGTCAATGAACTCCACCTCAAAGGAGTGTCTTGATTTCAGAGTTTTAATAACTGCTCTGCAGTAAAAACAGTAAGTGTCATGCTCTGCAACAATGAGATCCCCTATCGTGAGCTTGTTTAAGCAATTTTCACCTATATTCATCACGCTTTCTTTTAAGTCTTTTGCTAGTTGTATTATTAAGTTTTTATCCTCTGCAAGCTGAACAAAAAAACTCGATGGACTATTCACATGCGAAATATACCCTGCTACTTCAGAATCCACCTGAAAACCACGTTGAGGAAGACTTATTAATTTAGGTATATTTTTCTTACTCTTTTCCCGATGGCCTGTATAATTTCGTCTTCCATTATGAGATTCAGAGAGAGCATTTACAGTAATTTCTTTTGGATTTAAAGCAGGACGACGGGGGGAGTTTTTAACAGTTACTTTATTCATTTCTTTGTCACTTTCCATATGGCATGTCACTCCTTTGTAACTCCCAACAAATTGCTCCGTATAATTTTTCAGTGCCAATTCTTCCACAATTTTTTCTTTAACTTTCTGACTGACTTTGAGCTCTCCATCATACAACTCCACAACAATCTGTCCATCAGATTCTCTGGATACAATTACAGCCTTCAGCAGTTTACTACTGAATGATTCCTCAAACCATCTAGTAACACTTGCTGGAATTTCTGTCTCCGTAAGATCTGACAGACAGCATTTAATAGCTTGCATGGGTGTGAATATTAGGTCAGTGGCAGAATCGGGAATAGGCATCAACTGGTCTCTCTCTACCATGCTCTTGTTTCCAAAATCCACAAAATCAGCGCACAGATAGGATGTCGATTCCACGGGAAAAGTCAAAGCTCTGTAAAAGAGACCATCTTCAAAATATTTGGCTATACACAATCGTGTATTGCTGGTATCATATTTTGCAAAATCTGACGTTTTACTAATGGCACTGATCTCCTTCATCAATGCCTCTATAGTTTCTGAGTTTCGATTAAGCTGACAGTAGAATTCTGAAAGACTATGTATGTGAGTGATATAAACCTCCTCCTCATTTCCAATTTTTAGATTAAAAGGTGAGTAGCAAAAACTGTACAGAGAACCCAAGGATGCAAAGTTCCTCAGATCCATACATTCAGACTGAGGGAGACCACGCTCTCTAAGGAATTCCTCTGCACTAATAGATGGAGTCTGAATGTCAACTATATTGCATAAACAGCTGGGCTTTGCAAGAACAACAGCATAAATGGTGCAAGTCAGTGGTCCTCCAGAAGCAGAAATGAAGTCTTCAAAAAGTCTACACATATCTTCAGACCAATTAAGCGAGCCAGCCTGTAAGGGTACATTTTTAAGTCCACATCTAAAGGCTTGACTTTCCAGAGTTAGAAAATCTGGAAGAACAGCTTGAATTTTCCCGATAACCATAGTCTACAAAAACCACATCAACTTCGTTTGTGGATACTTTCTGCAGAACAGTTGCTCTGTACCACTTTGCATCTTTGGGACACTTAACAACACAGGCGACCTGTCCAGTTTTGTAAGGACTGGTGTGTTCCTTATAGTAAGCCTGAATTTGTTCCATTAAGTTGTTTAGCTCTGGCAATTTGCTCTGCAACTGACATGAAAAATCTACTGGGGAGACAACATGAGAACACACCACTTCCAGAACAGCTCCTGGTTTAAACACAAACTGTTTATAAAACAATTTTTCCTCAAGTGCCAGTTTATGTCTTTTAGAGATAGCACCTTTTCCAAAAGAGGACAGCACAACAGATTCTCTCAGCACTGAGGGAATGCTTAATGGTTCTTCCTTCTGAAATACCTTTCCCTTTCCGGATACCTTATTTTTACAAATATTAGAGATGCTCCATGCATTTACTTTTTCTTTTTTTAATGTGTGGGTGTTCAGACCTTGACTGGTTTTGGATGAATTTAGAACAGAATCTGGTGTCTTTTCCCAGTATTCGGCATGCCCAGCTTGAACCATACAAGTGGCAACATTTCCTTTCTGCAAACCATTCCCATACATCACATTAACATCATATTTATTGTTTTGCTTTCCAATGACATGAAGCAGCACTGGTTTGTTAAACACAATTTCTTTGAAGAAATCTGTCTCCTTTTTAGTCCACACGTCATCAGGAGGAAATGTGCAAGCAAGTGCACAACACACAGCTAAAGCTGGTAAACCAGAAAACTCGGGAAGCAATGCTTTCACATCACAGCAGGGTACTGTATCTGTATTTCCAAAATCCAAAAAATAAACAGTAATGCTCACAGGAAGCACTTCAATGACAAGAGCCCGATAATAATGCATGTCTTTGCTATACCGAGCACAGCACAGCAATCCAGGTTCTGGGCTTCTAAGGGCCATTTCATCAGCACCACATTGGTCGTATGTATCTGCAATGTTTTTCATCAGGGCTTGAAATTCATTCTGGTATTCACACGGTTGAATCCAGAAGTCAGACGGATTTCTGACATATACCACAAAAGCAGCACAGCAAGAATTCATCTGCATTTCCACTCTCTTGCAGTGGGTTGACGAAGACATATCTAATTCAGGGGAACAGGGTTTTGTATGTTCATTTGCAGCATCATTCTTAACTGAATCGTGTCTCTCATGGCATGGTTTGTAGTTTACAGCAACACTTTTGATTTCTGTTTCTGCAAGTGAGACACACAATGCAGCTGCCTCATTCAGGTTTTCTGGATGCTTATCGTTAATCCCAAGCTTTTGACTTTGCAGGGTGACATAATACAAGTGTTTAGTGTCACTGAATAAATCAACACGGACACAGACAGAACTTTGCCCTATCAGAGCCTGCGTGAGTTCTTTGAGCTGCACTTTGATTAGTGTTTCATCCCCGCTATCAAAACAAGACAGCGCACCTGGAAATGAAACCATGGGTAATGCCATGAACTCCACCTTCAGTTTCTGCACACAGCTGGATGGCACAGCTTCAATATTGCCAAAATCCATAAACCAGACCTCCACACGGTCAGAGAGAAGCTGTTTTATCACTCCTCTATGCCACTGTCCATTTTGCCTTTTGGCAGCACACAGTAGCCCTAAATTATCAACAGATTTATTATTTTCTGCACTGGTAGCTTCATAGTACAAATGCATAGCTCCTGTCAAATCTTCCAGCTCTTTCTGCCACTTCTGTAACTGACAGTAAAATTTATTTGGGCTTAACACAACAGTTATTTTTACATTTCCTTTACTGCCAACAGGTAGATGTGGAAAAATATCATCTGGAACTGGCCAAAAATCTGTTGGCTTCTCAAGATTACTGAAAGTAAGCAACTCTTTGACCGGATACTTCTGTTGCAACAATTGTGGCACTCTCTTACAAAGCATTTCTTGGGGAAACACTCTTAACATTTCTACAATAAAACAAAATGAATCTATATCAATACGTTTTCCTAAGCGCAGTTCAAGAACGTCACTAAGGATCTTTGGCACTTCTAGAATAAACAGTTGGTATGGTAGAACAGCCTTCACGTGACCCATTATCTGTAATCCTACCAGAGATGAGAAATAGTTGATGGCTTTTGGACTCCACTTTTCTCCAAGAGGAAGCAGGCTTGCAAAAACACCCAAAACTACCTTTGGAGGCAGCTGAAACAACTCAGCACAAGCAGAAGCAAGATGCGTTTCCTCAACCACCAGCACTTGCCCAGTGTCTATAAGAAAAGCCTCATAAACACTCTGTCTCTTCTCCAGAACTCTTCCTCTATGCCATGTTCCTTCCATGTCTTCCACCAAACAAGATCCACCAACGCAAACTGTATCTTTTACTTTGAATACACGCTGTATTTCGTTTTGGAGTATGTAATAGTCAAGCTCACATCCTGGCTCACACTGGCCCTGAAACACTACGACCAAGCATTCAGGATGGCATTCTATACGAGTTATCTTCAGGTTCATATCTACCACGTCAGGTGAGGGAGGCAGAGAATCCATCCTGTCTGCAAAGAAAAGGAGTAAGATCAGCCTAGTAATTTTCCACATTTTTTCCTCAACTATTTCCTTACCAGAAATCTGTTTTCAAAATGCTTTAATAGCACATTGTTACACTTCTGGTTAAAATGTATACTAAACATTTAACAGTGTCATGTGTTATGTAACTGGGTTACATTTGACAATTCCTTGTAAAGACATTCAGATAACATCTGAAAAAGAATCACCTTCGGACTTGCTCTTGTGGCTACAGGCTAATTTGTCACTTCAGAACAATTAGTAATCAGAAATCTGTTCCCAGAATAATACAGAAATAAAGATTATATTTGAAAACTGGGTGTGGGGGAGAGAAGGATGACACGGGGGACCAACATGCAGGGATGTAGAACAGGAGAGGACAGACAGCCAGGAAGAGAACTGTATTTCTTCTCAAACAAAAGAAAACAAGAGTGGAAATCATTTCATGTCATTCATACAATCTCTGCACACCTAACAAATGTTACTTACAACCAGTATATTTAACTGCAAACTTCTCTAAAGGAGATCCAGTTCAGTGTTTCATTGCACTGGACTTGCACTTACATGGAGAGTTTATCCACAAAAGTGTTTCCAGTCTGTTCTCTCTTTTTAATATGTAAATGACCCAGGACTCCTCCCCTCCTCACTCTGCTCTTTCTGTGTAACTCACTTCTTCTAATCAATGACACCCTGTAGCTCTGTGCTTTACTGGTTACTTCATCTGGCTGCCTATGCACTGTTATGCATAGCTACAGCATGCCTTAAGTTTTCCTAAGAACCCATTACCTATGCCCAACATTTCTGCACTGCCCATCAACTAACAGTGGTGCCAGCTGTGTTTTGCACTGTCTCAACAGTGTGATTTCAGCTTAAGTATCTTCAAACCCTTCAGATACTTCTCTGAACTTCATCTATAACCTGGTCCTCAAGATCAGCTCCAGTTCCACCCAAATTTGTCAATGGTTGTGATTTCACATTGTTTAAAAAGGCTGCACATGCCCATAAGTTAACCAAGCAATTTTATGAAATAAACATAGTAAAGTAAAACTTTCAGTTTCAACTAGAAGTTACTCGACCAAGATCTTCCACAGCCTGCAAAAAAAATTGTGAGTGGAACTGCCACAGTAGTTTTTATCACAAGTGTACATGAAGTATCTAGTGACCATACAAGCTGTCTTTAAACTGAGTATTGATCCCTGTAATTCTAGTTCCACAGAAAATAAAAATAAGTAAATGTAATAAAAAAAACCAACCCCAAAACACTCCAAACCATCAGGCATATATATATATAAAAAAAAAAAAACCCACACAACAAACTCCCAGTAAAATCAGCAACAAATCTAGAACTGATAAATACCTCCTTAAACAAGCCACCCTGATTTTCACTTTTCCTTCTAATAAAACAAAAAGCTAAATTCTAGTTTGTTTCTTTTGAATCAAATAAAACAGCCTTCAGAAAAGGGTGCTATCTGCCTGGATCATTAGAGAGAATCAAATTTTTCAAGGTGCTTAGGGCATTTTTTTAATTTCTCGCCGCTGAAACAAAGCCCTGGTTTCAGAAACCTATAACTGAAAAGAATTTCTGCATCAACATTTCCTTGCCTGTTCTTACAGCCCAAGTAGCAACATCACACTGATACAGTCACATTTGTACTGTTTACAAAGTGACCTTTTGCTTTTACTGACCTACACACCAGTTAGGACACATTCATTCACAACATACCTTTAGAAACCTCAGCCCTCTTAAACACTCTGCATCTCTCTACAAAGAAAGATAACAGAAAAATAATTAGAAAAATGATTTAAAACTAAATTCTTGTACCATTCTCTAAAGCCTCCTTCTGCCTAACAAACACATAGAAGAAAGAGTTCCCCATAGCCAGTTTGATTAAAATGTTAAGACTTCAAACCACTTAATTACAAAGCTAATCAACCTTCCTAAAACCATGGTAAGATCGTTCTTCACTGCAGATCAAGAAACACACCACTCAGAAGAACGCCACACAGGTAATCCACCACCTACCTTCTAAGCACACTTATTTTTGTTTGCAATGCTTCAGCCATCATAACCTATACTCTATCACGCACCACTACCATACGAAGTTATAGCATAACAAAAAGTCTTTTTAAATGCAACCGAATGCAGGACACAACGGACAGCTTCAGGTACCTGCGCTGC